GTCTTATGGGACTAAAATGAAAGTGTCAGCCAGGCTAGTTCCTTCTGGCAGCTTTAGGAGAGAATCATTTGCCTGCCTCTTTCAGCCTCTAAAGACTGTTAGCATTCCATGGTCTGTGGCCATAGCACTCAAATCTCTGCTTCTGTTCTCACATCGTCTTCTCCTCTCTGCCTCCTGCCTCCCTCTTACACTCTTGTGATTTTATTGTGGCCACCCAGATAATCCATGATAATCCCCCTTTCTCAAGAATCTTAATGTAATCACATCTACAAAGTCACTTTTACCACGTAAAATAACATATTCACAAATTCTGAGAGTAGGACATGAACATCTTTGGGGAGCCATTATTCAGCCTATCACAAATGCTAAAATGGAAATGTCCTCTGAGAATAAGAAGTTATAAAAGAATAAAATGGAATGCTGAAACTAAAAAATGTGTTAATTGTAATTTTTAAAATTACAAAAAATGAAAAGTTGTAATAGCAAATTGGAAATGGAAGTAGAGAGGATTAGTGAACCAGAAGATAGGTCATTGGAAAATGTCCAAGCTAATGTATATGGAGAATCATAAAATGATGGAAAATAGATATAAATACTGAGAAGGCCTTACATATCTGTAATGTGAGTTTAGAATCCATGTAAAGCAGAAGAGGAAATGGAAGAGAAATAATTTTAGGAGATAATGCACCCGATTTTTTTTAAAAGCCACAGATTCAGAGCAGTCTATGAAATATAAATAGAGAGAAAAATCACTTCCAGGTGTATGACAAGAAAACTAGTAAAAATGAAACACAAAGGAAAAGCAATGCGATAAAATGGAAATACGTTATCTTCAAAGAGGCTAAATGAGATTGTTTGGAAACTGCTCAAAAGAAATGATAGACATCAGAAAAAAATGAAATGATATTCTTAAAGTTCTTACAGACAAAGCTAGAAGTCTATATTAACTGAGACTATCCTTCCAGTGTTGAATAAATAAATTTCAGATAAAATTCAACCAAACCCACAAAAGTTGTTAGTTGTAATCACATACATAACCAGCATAACTGTGATACTAACATGATAAATACATATATAAACATTCATTCTCTCTTTTATTTGAAAATATTAAGAAAAATTATGAATATAATTTTAGCAAAGTGAATATAGTGTTATCTAAAAGACAATGTGTTACAGTACAGTTTGATATCATCCCCCAAAAACTCAGCTGAATTTTTTAGAAGCAATTGATTTTATTGAACATGATCAAAACATTAAAAAAAAATTTTTGAAGTGGGAGACAATTTTTTTCCAAATATGCTTATATAAATACACATCCTGATCACTTATTCAGTAAATCTATTTATATTTATATTTATATTTAAAAAATATAAGTTGTAAGTATAGTAAACATCAGATTCACTTCTTGCCCTCAAGTAGCTTGTGGTTTATTGAAAATAGAGTTGTGGGGTAGTGATAGTGGTAAGAAAAAACAAAACAGAGAGGAAACAATAAAAAGTGTTTTCAGAAATGGGAATAGACAATTCCTAAGCAGGTATTGGTGAGGAGTAAGATTAGGGTGATGGGCAGATTACACAGTTTTATGTGTTATGTTGTTTTGTGCCGTCATGTCACATCATGCTATGATGTGGGGGGGATGTGATGTGATGTGAAATTACATTAAGGAATAGAGACCACTTGCTAATGGCAGTTCTTGGATTTAGAGGCCCAATGACATTTGTCAGTTAACAGATAAAGCTACAGGGTGGCACAGGGACTAGAAATGTCAAGAGGGGCTTCAAGCATACAAAAAATTATTATAACACTTATAAAAATTAACCAGAATAAAACAGAATAATGACAGGAAAATTTAAAGAAGTACCTGGATTGTGAGGGAGTGGAGCAGCAGGAACTCTCATTCATTGCTGGTGGGATTGCAAAATAGCACAGCCACTTTGAAAGACAGTTTGGCAGTTTGGCAGTTTTTGGTTTTTGTTTTTGTTTTTTTTTACAAAACTAAACATACTCTTATATAGGATCTAACAATCGTGCTCATTCTTATTTACTCAAATGTAAAAAACTTATGTCCACACAGAATCCTGCATGTGGATGTTTATGGCAGCTTTACTCATAATTGTCAAAATTTGGAAGTTTTGGAATTCCAAAATTTTGGAATTTGGAAGCAACCATGATGTTCTTCAGGGGGTGAATGGATAAATGGTGGTACATCTAGATTAAGTAAAAAGTCATGAAAAGATATAGAGGAATCTTAAATGCATATCAATAAGTGAAAAACCAATCTGAAAGGACTAAATGCTGTATGACTTACACTATTTGATATTCTAGAAAAGACAGCTATGGACAGTGGTTACCAAGGGTTAGAGGAGAGAGAAGGATGAATAGGTGGTGTAGAGAGGATTTTGGGGGGCAATGAAACTACTCTGTGTAATACTATAATGGCAGATGCGTGTCATTCTACATTTGTCCAAACCTGTAGAGTGTACACCACCAAGAGTGAACCCTAATGTAAGCTATGGACACTGCATGACAATTATTTGTCAATGTAGGTTCATTAAGTGTGATAAATGTATCACTCTGATGGGCTTATTAATAATGTGGGAGGCTATGCATGTGTGGGGAAATGAGGTATATGGGCAATATTTGTATCTTCCACTTGATTTTGCTGTGAACCTAAAACTGCTCTGAAAAAAAAAATCTATTTTTAAAAATCAATATAATTGTCCATCTAACCTGCAGCTGACTATAGATGCATGAGTCTACCCAGTCAGAACCATCAGCTGGTTGATAAATTTGTGAGCAATAATAAATATTTGTTTAAGAAGTGTATTGACTTAGGGCATTTAGGAGACCTTAAAAGAGTAATGATCAGAGATGGAAGATTAAATGAGGCAGGAGACAAGGATAAAATTTATTTCTGGCTTGCTCGAATTTTATTTTTATCATACTCTGAACAAGTAGCTAGAACATTTGGAAAGATATTTTATTTCCCCTTTTCTCCCTCTGTCATCACATCTAAGACATTTTCCACATCTATACATGCTCTTTTAACTGAATAAAAATTATATTTGCTTTAAAAATAGTAATACTTATCTGATAAGTGTCCTGCACTGGACTTTATGCTTTATTTAATCTATAAATTACTCTTTTGATTAAAAAGCATTATTTTTCTTATTTTCCAGAAACCAAAACTGAAATTTTGAGATTCACATATAAAAAGTCTCAAGCCTATAAATGGCAGGACCAGAATTCAAACCAAAAAAAAAAAAAAGCCTACCAAACCCGGTCTTTTAAATATTTATTTGTATCAAGTACATTTCTTGAAACACATAAGATCTTACAAATGGATATTCCAGATAAAGGAAAACAGATGTGCAAAAGTGCAGCCAGAATTAAAAAACAGAGTGTGGTCCAAGACATACAGATTGGCTGGCTGGTGACAACAGTGTAGGTTTGGGAAAGGCAAAGGTGAGGTTCTGTCTGCAGAGGGACTTGAAAGTGGAGAGAAGCAGCTTAGTTTTTATATCTATAAAGCATAGAGTACCTTCATAGGACCTGAAGCAAGACAGTGGTGTGAAGAATGGTGATTTAGTGGCAGAAGGGAAGACAGGGGAGAAGACAGTTTAAGAAACTATTACTAAGCAAGGTACAGAGAGGGTGTTGTAGCATATTACACTTTTTGAAAAGGGGAAAAAAACATTTATACTTGCAAATGCATAGAGTTTGACCTTGCTCTTTCTTCACTTTCCAGTGGGGGCTAATTTAATTTCCCACTAAAGGGTACATGAGACCCTGGCAACAGTAGTTCCCTCCACCCCCACCCCGAGGAGGGGAATTGGTAGCTGCTTTTCAAGGAGAGAAGGAGGCTTTTTTCTTTCCTTTCCTTTTCTTCCTTTTATTCTTTTTCTGTAGATCCTTTTGTATACTTTCACACTTTCTATTTTGTACTTTGGACATGTATTACCTGGCTAAAAACTAATTTGCTTTTTAAGAGGTTATTAGATAATCTAGAAAACATTGTTAGGGAGAATGTACCTGCCACTCACCCCCACCTCCCCAGGAAGAACGTCCTTAATCCTAGTAGCCTAGTGACCTCAAAAAGCTTTTGTTGAGATGACTGACTACTGGTCTGGCTAGTATTCAGACTTGGGGGTAGGAGAGGCGGCCTGTATAGATCTTACATCTTCTTGCTGGTTGTATTTGGGGCTGACTGATTCCATTACCAGCCTCCTAATCCTGGCTGATGCCAAGTGGGTTCCCCTTCTGTATCCAGCAAAAGTGTACCGGGTCATCATTCAGCAAGCATCTGGGTACCATGGGAGACAGTAAGCCACGAAAATGCCAGAGGAATGAAGACACAGGGGCAGCACAGAAAATAAGCACCTATCCTTCCTTACTTTGGAGCAGATTTGTGAGCAGAAAGGGTCCAAGGTAGTTGGTGGCAAAGGTGACATCAAGGCCCTCTGAAGTATGTGTTGTGGGCAATCCTGGGAGGAGATGAAAACATAGGTGGTGGGTGATGGAATGACAACCCCGAGGGAGATGATGTCTGGGGAGGATGTATTGGGGTTCAGTAGAAAAGCCACAGGAACATATGTGTGTCAAGATCAGAACAGTGAAGTTTGAAGCTACAACTTAAGGTAGGCTTTTTAGGACAGTGTCCTAATTAAGAGTGTTTCCACGGAGTATACAGGTTAGGCTTGGGGGATGCCTGTTTTGGGGTCCCTGAGCTAGAAAAGAGGCTCCTGAAATGCATTTAGGGGAAGTTAAGTCAAGACACATACCACAGACTGCAGCATTGTTAACCAGTAGATGTATCTCTGGATACTACCGCAGAAGCCACTAAGCAAAGCTCTGGATGGAGGCCATCGAGCTCATGTCCACTTTAAGAAGCAGGAGGTGGTTGTTCTTTGAGGCTGCCTGTAACTCGGCCAGGGCTTGCTGTCCACACTCATGACTATGGCAGGCCAGGGTGAGGCACCTCGTGAAGATCCTGGCTCTCCTCATCCCCGGAGTCCAGGCCCTGTGTGAGTACGCAGCAACTCGGCCTCCCCGTCCCAGCCACTGGGCCACTTGGCACCCGGCCACAGTTTGGACCTGGGGCTGTGGGCCACACTGGGGAGCCCCAGGTACGTGGCGAGAAAGCGGAGGCCGGGACTGAGGAAGGGCAGCTTCAAACCAAAGCCTGGCAACAGTAGGCCTAGGTTTAAAGTAGGGAATTGGAGGCTGGCGCTGGGACCCAACTCTCGGATGGGAACCCCAGGCTGGAGAGGGAAGAAAACTGATGGCAAGATGCGGACACCCGAGCCGGAGGCTGGCAGTCGACTGGGGGCCTCAGTCTCCCCGCCCTGCTGGCACCTGTGGTAGGCACCAGAACCTCCAGCATGGGCGCACCCAGCAGCACAGCAGGTGCGCGGGGTCCGGGCACGCCATAGCGGGCTTGCGGCCCATTCTGCACGGCGTCGCCGGGCCACGCGTCTGCGCGCCAGGGCTGCTGCGGCAGGAACCCGGCCAGAGGGGCTGAGCGCTGCGGCGCCGTCTGCAGGGGGGTCCGACACCAACACGCCTGGGGCGATGCGGGGCAACTCCTCGTTCTTGGGCACGGCCAGTCTCCAGCCGCATGAGGCTTTGGCGTGTAATAGTAGAGATCCTCGAGGGAGAACTGGGAGCTGAAGTGCTGTGCCCTCTTGACTGAGGCCTGGGGCTGGCTCCCAGGGACAGATCCGGAGAAGGGTGGGGACTGGTGGCAGGCACCACCTCCACTGAGGGTTGGCTACTCGCGTTCAAAGATCCGATCGAGGATAGGTGCCCTTCGCTTGGCCGTCCAGTTCCTCTGAAGGACCTCCAGGCCCTGTTTCCTGAAACTGCTCCGGGGTCTGTGGGGTCCCCCGGGTGACTCTCAGCTCGTGAGAACGCTCCCAAGATGCCATCTGCTCCTGAGAGTCTGTATCCATCCAAGATCTTCCTAAAGGG